AAGAAGAAAACCCCCTTGCACGAGAGTTAAAAAAAAAAAAAAAAAGTAAAAATCGAAAAAAAATACTCCGTACAAAGCGGTAGATCCCCCTGCTGTGGGTAGTCACAAAGTGGGTTTCAACCGAAATCGGGCCTTCTGGTATGTCGGAGGTCTTTGCCGGTTTGCCACTAAGAGCGCTAAGACCAATAAGCGCTTCGCTTTGCCTTTTGATGATAATTTTGAACATGAACATCGCAAACCCTTCACTGTCAATATGGACAGTATTGTATCGCATGCACAATGGGGTATGTTCGTGTAGCCTTTCTCGAGATTTTGGGGTTGAAGCATCCATGATTTCCATAAGAGTTGTAAGAAACCTGCTCTCTGATAGGCCACGTGAGACCGGTGTTCTCCGTATACTAGGGTTTGGACATTCCAAATCATATGGCCCTCTTTCGGTCCGAAAATCACCGGTATTTCAAATCTCGTTGATAGGTCGGCATTCAAGCCGCCATGCTTGTTCCAGGACCCGACGGGATACACCATGAATCCATCTCATGAAACGACATTGTTTTGGTGAGCAGAACCAGATACCACAAGCAGTAAGATTGCCCTAGGGGTTCCTCTCCCTTCAAGGCTCTTGGAAAAACTTGGCGGATCGTTCCTGTGCTTTCAGACTCGGGTAACACGGAAGACTATAATCGGCCGGTCCGGGTCGAGCGTTCAATGCTTTTCGATCAATCATGTCTTCTTCTCGGACTTGCCTCAGTTCGGGTGGGTCGATACTCATTCGTCGTCAAAATGGTAGACCCACTGATGTCTGCATGCCCATCCACACCCCACAGGAGAGCAAGACAATAGACCACCACCCCATTAATGGAAGTGACTTTCGTTGGATTCCGGCTCTCTTGTAACGACGAGTCGACGCGTCATGTGTCATTTCGCGATCAGCTGTGGATGGCAGTCCGCCAGCTGGATGTCTGCAGCACTGCAGAAAAGAGAGCAATCCAGCACCCGGTAGACCTGCGAAAGAAGGTCAGAGGAGACTGATTCTGTGCGTTATCAGCGGTGATAACAATTCTGGCGGCAAAACTGTGGCACGGACTCATAGGATCGGTCCACTGCATAGCTAGATAATGTGCATCAAAGAGTGTTCGCCCGACCCCGGTCTTTTTGGCTCCACTGCTCGAGTTTCTAGTAATGCGCTATAGGCAGCATTCCTAACACGGCCTGTGATCTGTGAGGCATTTTGAGAACCAGAAATCTACAATGAGCATTTAAACCAGGCGAGCCAGGTGACGCCAACGTGAACGACAGCCTCGGTCTTTGCTTGATCTGAAGTCTTGGAAGAAGTGCCGCGACATTGATGTGATATGACCAATGATATGAGCTGCGATATGAAGTGGTGGTTCTCACAGCTCACGGCAAGCTCTGCTCAAAACCGGTGTGACTGAGCCATACAGTCTTGCCAGGCTATGAGAGTGACCCTACGTTGAGAGGGCGAATGTACTGTTGAAGAAAGTTGGCGGTTGATCCATGGACCTCGGGATGTGCCACCCGGTTACATCATCCGAGAGGGCTTAGGAGGGCTGAGGCGCACTAAGCAAGAAACCATTGTGATCAGCAACGACGTCAAAACGGAACGAAAGAGAGGTGCTAGACTCGCGTAAGAAAGAACTGACGATTAATGGCGCTTGGCGGGCGAGTTCAGTTAATCTTTGAGGTGCTTGACTTCAGTTTCCATGATTTCGCCGCACTGCCAGTCCCCGTGACAGTGTATCGGTGCATGGATCTCAGCAGTCTCAACGACCAACTTTGTCCATCGAGTACCAGAAATCTTTGACACGTTCTCAACGGGTACTGGCGGTTATAATTCCGAACGCTCGAGGTGCTTTGGGCGTGAGGATAAGGATCGACTTGGGAACAACGCGCCCGTTGCTCCTGCTTTTCTGTTAGTGCAACACGTGCAACCCCATTCAGTCATCGTTCGGCGTCGTTCCGAGCTTCTTTCAGGCAAATCGCGGAGATGGATTTGAAAAGATCCCTTCAAGCTCAGTGTTGAGGGTAACGAAGAGGTGTTGTTCAGATTGGGTGTAGGAGGCGATGGACAAGACTTAGGGGCAAGCCGGAAATCAACTCCGACTGGCCTCGAACCAATTAGGGAGACAAAGAGACCAACATCATGGGCTTCTCCGCCCTTAATATTTTAGGCGAAATTCGAAATTCCGATCAGAGCTAATCCGTAGCGCCAATTGCTCCGTGGAAAAACCTGTGAATTGGGGAAATTGAGTCACGTCTTTGACCTGCTCAAGGGGGTTACGACCACCTACCCGGGCCCCAGGCCGTCACAATACAAAAGGGCATAGAAAGATCCCAAAAGGCCAAAGAGACAAAGTCTTGCCTCTTCATTGGCCTCAAGGGATTCTTTTGATTCTACAACTGACCATTGTTATGAATCTAGTCCACCCGAGAGACAATCTAGCTGTCGTAGCGCGAGCTACAAAGTCGTGTTCCAATGCTTCGTGTCTACATGTCCAGATAATACATGCCTATCGGCTGGACTAGATCGATCCATGTATACTTTGCATGCAGAGCTGGCTCTAGAAACCTGCGGTTTAGGGCTTAGAACTAGTCTTCCCCCAGAATTCAACCACCTTCGTTGTGGATTCCCATGGGCTCTTGGGATAGGAATCTATTGTCCATCAAGTCAACTGATTCAATTCATATGGTCCTTGGAAATCAACGACTGCTATTGCATGCGCCATAGAGCGAGGTTTATTGTCTGCCTCAGGCATAAACACCATGTGATCATGCTAGTCACGTGACCGTGGTATCTCCCTTTTGCGAAGGCTATCTCTTGCAAGCACTTATGGACGCATTCAGATATTTGAATTAACTAATTGCATTTGAAATGCAAGCATAAAGGCATACAGAAATGTCTTTGCGCGGGCCCATGCGACGGTCGCACCTGAGGCAAGTGAGCGCGGCGAGTTTGGAGAGCAGCTCCACCCACTCACTGGAGGCTTCGAACCGTGACCACGACCTCGACCAAGCCACAAATGGTCGGACTGTCAAGTTGTCCTCAACAAGCTGGACACGGCACCAATGTGCACTTTGGGTGCACGATGAGACGTTTTCGCGTGAAGAGATTTTGTTGAATCCATCGGCCTTCGGCGAAACTGAAGTGCAAATTGGGGATGTCGTCGAGATCCTGCCCGTGCGGGGATCCGGCGATGCTGGTTATTCTACCCTGAAGCCCGAGGCAGCCTTGAAAGCTGCTCGTGAGAGTCATACCGAACTCAACCCGGCGTCTCAAGCGGATAGCACCTCGAAATTCAAGACTCCACTGCAGAGCCGTTGTCTATTCGTGGTGAAGGCCTTGCCACCAGAAACCAAGGCTCGGAATCCTCAATTAGAGATTTCAGTAACCAACAATATTGCCAACATCTTTGGTTTCAAGAATAGAACGCAAGTTCTATTATCGATTGTGGATCGAGACCAATGTGCGGCATCTCACGTTGACATCGCCTTTCGCGATCAATACATGGTCCGATCGGACATGTGGAGACTAGTCATGTCGGAGTTATCAGACAAAATCATATACAAAGGACAAAAGATCATGTTTATGGGGAGCATCAAAGCCACTGTCAAAAACATCTTTATCCGAGAGAAGAAATGCCTTTCGGGATATTTCTCGCCAAAAACGATCCCTATTTTCCGAAGCGAGTCCGCTAAATATGTCCTATTCATCCAAATGTCAAAAGAAATGTGGGACTTCGACTCGGAGGGGACCGGTGACATCCTCTTCAGTCGGGTTATCAATGGTTTTCTGCCGGAGCTCTTCAAGAGATGGGCTAATTCGGACGCAAAGCATTTGGTGACCATTGTGCTGTTCACTCGAGTCGAATACGATAAGCCCAACAATTTAAGCCAGCCTAAACTCAGTGCTGGGAACTTGAACAGCAAATCCGGACCAAACAAACTTCCAACTCGAGATTTCTACCGTGTGGTAGTGAATGATATGGCAAGCGGCCATTGGACAACCATTCTAGACGAGCTGAAAAGGGAATTCAGAACCTTTTTGCGCGATGTGTCAATCCTGAAACCGGACGACATGGATGCTGCATCTGGCAGTGGTATCAAGGGCCCTTCCAAGCCAAACCTGGCGACCATTGCCGGGCACCCAAGTTCAGCTCTACGAGGAAACATCCTAGAGGCCATCCATCTCGCCTCTGCTCACCTGGCTTTCGACCACATCGATCGAGACATGGTCCACACTGGCACCTCAATCATTGTTATCACACCCGGTAGCGGCGTTTTCGAGGTCTCTTACGAGTCCTTGGCTTCTACAACAGAAGCCCTGGCGAACCGAGGTATAGCAATTGACTTGGTCTGTTTGAGTCCGATGCCTCTCCATTCTGTGCCACTTTTCAAATACCGGGAGCCAGTGGAGCGACATTCTAGGGATTCGGAAGGGGTTAGATCCAGCGAAGTTAACAGGGATAGAATGTCTCCTGAGATACATCATTCCCTTTCAAGCGTTGTTAGCAGATCATCGTATCTTTCTCCAAGCTCATACCTGTCTGCAACTAGAATGAGGGAACGGGCAACACCTCAAGCCAAAGACTGGAGCTTTGGTATTCCTCATTGGCTTGACATTTCCTATTGGAACCCTGAAACATACCGAGAGGCCCGGCGAATCTTGAAAAAAGACCCAAATGCACCTATCTCTCTTACCGTCACTCGGCCATCGAAGGCGTTCACGCCCCGAGTGCGTATGTATGAGATCCAAATGATGGGAGTCATGGAGAGTGAACAAGCAAACATCACAATCCCTTACCTTACTGAAGGGCGCGGTGGAACAAGCCCTCGTGGATCTTGGCCGGCTTACAATTCTGGTAATCGTGCTCCCCCTAAGCCCCGTTTCACGAATCCTTCGTCTCTCAAGGCACAACTTAGTGATAGTCTTCGCCCGGGATCCTTCGTTCAGAACGCGGCAGACCAAAATGAACAGACTCGAGATACGCAAAGTTCACGCAAAGAAGTGATGTCTTGGATGGACCAATATGATGAAAATCTTTTCGCTGTCTCTCCGAAACGGCTGCAGGCTAGCAAAGCGCCCAAGGCGAAGCGACCTAGTGAATCAGAAGTACAGGCCGCTGGGGGCGGGTTGCATGAACGGTTATCTGCCCGGTCCATCACGCACCTTCGCCACCATGAAACGAATCCAGCGGACGAGAATGACTCTTTGCACTCTGGGCCTCGAAAAATTGACTCGAATATGACTACACCAAGAAGCCCAAACTCGGCCAAAAGCATGTCTTCCATAAAGCCAGCGTTGAAAAAGACGCCGGCGCCAATGACCTCACGGATTTCTCGAACGATTAGCTTTGCGCTTCGAGGCTTGAGCGCTACTCCCCCGAGAGCCTTGGCGAGCACAGTGGTCAATGTGGAACATGCCAGTGCTATGCCCATGACGAACCAAAGAACTCCTGCCGGGTCAATTTCCGATGCCAGGAGCATCACTTCTTTGAGCCCGTCAGAAACAGCATCGACTACATCAGTCTTCGATGTACTTTCGACATCCTCAACACCCGCGAAGTCTTGCCAGACTCCTGCTAAGCCGATTTCCATCAAAATACCTCCCAAAAATCCACCAAAGGAATCCGAACATCCGGAGGAGGCGGGCCCCCATGGATCACTGCCGGTGGAAATGCCAGCGAATGAAGTCGGTCGGAGCCATGGTGAAGATTCTTTGAACGGTCACAAGATCGAGATCACTCTCAGTCATAGTCCACACGAGCCACATGTGCGGCACTCCCCGAGCAAAGCTTTGTCTCCGTGGGTCCGCTCGGTCAACCCATGCAATACCCCTAAAGACGTGCTGCGAGATACTAGTTGGTTTGGCCGTTGGCAACATGCGTATCCTCGCCCTCCACATGTGGCTGTGGTAAAGTGGAAGAGCTTGAAGTCTCCCGCAGTGCTTCCACTGACGACGGAAGAATTTCCAACAGCTAGTGTGCTTACTTCAGACTATCTACAAACACCATATCGTGTCTTCCCAAATGATGATCCCGAAGGCATTGAAGCACCAAAGACGCGCGAAGTACTTTTACGAGAAATGATCTCGCTGCGGCTGTCTCATGGCTTCCAAATCGTCGTTGGAAGACATGTGGCCGAAGTGTCCTCACAGCCTGGCCTGGAATCATTGAACGTCTTCGATCTCCGAGGTCTAGAGCGCGATGGGCTCACAATGTTTCTCTCCAAGGGCAACACGATTCACCGACTTGTCTGCATCCAAGGGGGTGAAGTTGAAGTGACCCGCTTTACGCATCAAAACTCTGCGGTGATCGCTTCTCCCAAGAAGCCTACCTTTACTCTCTATCAACCGGCGATGAAAACGATATTGAGCGCGGAATATGAAGTGAAGAATATCAAGCTGGATCCGACCTCCGAGGAGTACAACTGGAACTATGCCGATAATTATGTAGCTGGTCATCGAGATTATCTCCAAAACCCGGCCCAGCAGCTACACTTCTGGCGCGTCCGTTACGTCTTGATTCCGCTTCAACTTCATGCCAATTCTCGGCGAAATTTGCAGTTTTCCCATGAGGATAACGAGGAAGAAATTCATTTGCTGGGGATCAGCCAACTGACCCATATCTGGCAACGATACAAATACGTGTCGCCGGAGGAAAAACTTTTCGAGACATCAAACCCCAAGCGAGACCAGAATCCTTTGAACATCATGTACCAAACACGCAATCCGTCAGAAATCGTCGCGGCAGAGCTGGACCGTTTACTACTCACTGATCCAGGGCTCGACAATCCCCCTGCTCAGCTCCTACCCGAGTCAGAACTGTTGGATAGATCCAGTATCAGTCTTATGACATTGGCGCAAATTATCCAAGGCGAAAAGGGCGTCCGGATGATGGACCGGAGGTGGCATTGGAGGTTACACTACAACTGCTTCATCGGGTTTGAATTCACAACCTGGCTGTTGCAAAACATACGTGATATCGATACCCGTGAACAAGCAGTCAAATTCGGCAACGAGTTAATCGATCATGGCTTGTTCCAACATGTGGAGAAGAGACACAATTTCCGAGATGGCAACTATTTCTATCAAGTCTGCGCCGATTATCGTGTCACTCGTCCAGAGTCTCGAGGAAGCTGGTTCCCTCACCTTAGACCAGACAAATCGATGCCGTCGACACCCGCCGTCGGGACTACCAAGGACTCTCCGGCCAGCCTCAAAGCTCGATCAGACAGCATCGACGAGCGCATACCACACACTCCCAATACTCCCTCCAAGTCGAAGAACAAAGTCGCAATCATGCTGTCCAAATCCATGAAATTCGACGTTGATCCGCGCAAGCGGTCGAATCGGCCGGAAGTGGTTGACCTCCACTGGGACCGACTGCATAATCCCGAGAATTGCTTCCATATCGAACTCAGTTGGATGAGCACGACCCCCAAGTTGATTGAAGATACCGTGCTTTCTTGGGCCTCGACTGCCGACAAATTCGGGCTGAAATTGGTCCAGGTGCCGATCGCCGAAGCCTGTGCTATCGACAAGACGCAGCCATTCCGGAAACCCTACAAGATCAAACTCAAGGTCCCGCCACCCAAAGGACCATTGCACACAGTGTTCAACAATGCGTCGTTTGCGCAACCGGGTCCACCGGATCGCCTCTACTACCAGAAGGCCATATTGCGGAAATTCGATTTCGTACTAGACTTCGAAGCCGCCTCTGCATTCCCAGCAGACGTTGAAGTATCCTACTCCTGGGGAAAGCCCGATTATACTTACCCGCAATTTATCCACCGAACCGGAAGCATCCTTGCACAGATCACCGACGAAGGCGATTTCCTCCTCCTTGCGAATCGGTTGGTGAGTACCCGCAGCACCCCGAGTCGAGACGCAGGCCGTTTCGAGAACCACAATCGGTCCGACTTCCGAGGCCGTACAGGGAATCACGATGGACTAGACCGTGTCTCACCCCGACTTTCTCCAATTACCCGGCCCGTTCATGACATTGGCGGCATCGGCAGCCCACTTACCCCATCTGGATCAGCAAGCACCGACTCAGGAAACCTGTACCGCGCTCCGGAACATATTCTTAACGGCCTGGCTGAGTTCTGCAGCGATGCAGCCCAACTAGAGAAGTTCTACTCGGAGTCGCATGCTCGTCCATTATCTACCAAGGTTGAATCGACTACCACAAACCTAATGGACGCATCGATCCCATCGCTCGAGCTTCCTGCCAGCGTAGTCAGTCATCCTGTCTCGCCGCACCAAGGCTTGCCATCGCGGATTTCCCGCGAGTCGCGAGAGGGACTCATGTCACCGGAAGTTACGCGTGCCAGGGCTCGAGGAGAAAGTCTCAGCTACAATGCAAGCCCTAGGAGTGGCAGCTTACGACCCTTGATCTAACCATTCGAAGATACCCATTTGACGCTCTGATGATTCTGTACCCAAATGAAATGCGATGTTAGCTATGTTCTTGCTTTTGTGAATCAAAAGTGGCCGTGAATCGAACTTCATTATATTCAACACCCTATGCTGTATAGCTTTCGAACCACCCCAGCCACACGGTACTTCTATGATCGGCCCCATGTTGATCCCTATATTGATCCGAATACACGCTGATCCGCATCTGGTCTAAATAATAGTCCCTGCCTAGTTGTATGTGAGTCGTATCGTATTGAATTTCATTGTTCAATGAGGGCGTGCTCCCGAGGTCGGCCAGCATTAAATTACTCAGCCTACTCCGCCGTGGTCTGAGCAGCCCTCTGATGTTCCTGTCTATCTAAATCTCAGATACAGGCCTCATCCTGAAGCCGAGTATTTTTGGAAATTCAGTAAAATTCCTCGATGCGTGTTCACGGAGGGGATCACGAAAGCTTTCGTCGAAATTGGTCTCTTCAAGTGCATCCACGGCGAGACCTGCCTGGAAGAACGGTGCAAAGAGCTGGCTTAAAGGCCGATGGAACAGATACTACGCGTTATTTAGTCTTGTTGTCCCCGAAGACAGCAAAGGTTTCTTGTCACATACCGGTGACTCGGTTTCCCCTTCAAAAACCAATTGCCTCGCGGGAGGAACATTCAAATATTTGCGCATGACAATAGAGCGGTCGACAATTCGCTGGCCAGTCTCCGGTTCCTCATGGACTACTATCTGCCGAGCTGCACCGGATGTGAAAAATAGCGGATGAAGCAGAGTAGCAACGAAGCTAGATAGCTATTAGTTTGCACATTCAGAATCATGTTTAACGAAGCACAAAAGCTCAACACTCACCAACCGTTTGGTTTGAGGAGTAGTCTCAGAGATCTTGCCAATGGCCCCAGATCCTGAATGTCCATGAGAGCCATATTCATGGTGACAACATCGAAACCCTCCTACTCAAGAGCTGCGTTAAAACGTGGGAAAGACTCTGTACAACTCTTGTGAACTAACCATAAGACAAGTATCCATGAAAGTATCCCAAGATGACTGCTTTGTGACATCGAGGTGGTGGAAGAAAATCCTATTTCCATATTGGGATTCCGTTCGTGCCTTTGCACGGTCTATCATCGACACTGCGCCGTCGGTTGCGATCACGGAGGCAGCTTTCTGAGCTAACCAGCGAGCCACAAGACCATTTCCCGTTGCAAGGTCGATAGCACGGCACCCTTCTAGTCTACCAATCAGCTTCTCCAAGATGGGAAGTTCTAGAAAGCGGAAATAGTCATTCCCTTCATCCCCCATTCCTGCATCCCAAGAATGGGCGAAAGTCTCCCAGGATGCCAGAAAATCGTTCGAAGCCATATCGAACACAAAGTCGGATATTCGAGCAAAAGAGTGTAGGTCACTTGTATGTTGCTCGATGGTTTACGAGAAACATCCATCTTGGCAAAGATGACTCATATAATAACCTCCAGCCCCGGAGGGCTACCTCTCATTGAGACTCTGAGCCTCATAAAAGTGACTGAGATACGAAAGCCCAGAGGAAATCAAGTACGTATGCCTACATATGTACGTATTCCGTACAGATTTACAAATTTCGATCTCGATTTGAGATCCAAAAATATCCCTTTATCTCAATGTAACCCCTCCGCAGGGATAACGCATTTTAGCCTGATATCATGCAGCTGTTATTTTAGCCTGATATCAGCGATGGAGCCGACATTTTAACCGCATGCTCCGGTTGGTGAGACATCAACGGCATCTTCGAACCTCCGAAGATCTGCCCCTAAGATCTGCCCCATGTGCTACCCCGAACTCTAGAAATAGTGGAGCTCTCTGCTGGCGAATCGCTATTCAGATTCAGGCCATGGCGGACGATACGCCGTGTCGAATGAAGCAGGTTAGCCTTCCCCAAGGTTGTGCCGGCGTCACACAAAAAGACCTCGACCGTCCTCTTGCCTTCACTTTCTTCTTTATTCTACATTTTCATTCTATCCAAAGCTGGAAGATAGCCAGGTATCTCTGGGGTAGCTTGTACAGAACGGATTTCATAAACAAGAATCTCAATCGAGATTCCCTGCCCTTTCTCTCAAGATGAAGTTCACTGCGGGGATGTGGTGCCTGCAGGTAGTTCCACTCAGTTCTTCTGAAGTCGGCATAGAATGAATACTGAACGCAATCGGATCATATAGGATGGCGTCAGCATCGAGTGGATGAGCAACGTAGAGCGACTTTCCATCGAAGACGACTCGGTCAATTTGCTGTTGAACAAGTTCCAGGCACACCGAGGACATACCCTCAATTCGCGTGCGTTTCAATCCTCCCTTAGTATAGAAATCCAGAAGCTAACGAAAGTATACAGCAACTATCTCCGCGCGGATCACCTCGCCAGTGGAAGGAGTCATCGGCGTGAAGCTTGTCCACTGGTAAGTACCTCAAGGGCCCAAACTAGGGCTCTCAATGTTGGTGTTGGCGACCCACTAACAGCATGCAGGGCGGGCCAAAACGACAACGGTCCTCACTACCACCTGAACAAGGCCAGCGGACACACCAAGATCCAGCACGACAAGGCCGAAAAGAAACTCAACTACACAAGCGGGCCCGTCAATCTGGCTGTGAACACCTCCGCCAATGAACTCGGCCTAGAATTTCAGTCTCCAGCTGGTAAGAAACTGACCGGCCAATCGTTCCGTTCTATCGGATACGTGCGCGACCAGCGCACTGAGAAATATCGCTACGAGGACGGTATGTACGCCGAGCGCCAGGGATACATGCTCGCAGAGCTTGACCTCGGCGTTGGCGAGAAGGTCTACGGTCTTGGAGAGCGGTTCGGGCCTCTGGTCAAGAACGGACAGACGGTCGATATCTGGAACGAGGATGGCGGTACCTCGTCCGAGATGGCCTACAAGAATATCCCCTTCTATATCAGTTCTAAGGGATATGGTGTTTTCGTCAATCATCCTGGCAAGGTTAGTCTGGAGGTGCAGTCTGAGCGCACCACTCGCGTCAATATCTCTGTGCCTAGCGAGGAGATTGAGTACTTTGTTGTGTATGGAGCTACGCCAAAGGACATCCTGAATCGCTATACTACTTTGACTGGCAGGCCGGCCTTGGTTCCGTCATGGAGCTATAACCTCTGGCTTACTACCAGTGAGTTCGGGATATAATTTTCTCTGGAAAGCTGAATGAAAGAAGCTGACATTGCTATAAAGGCTTCACGACCAACTACGACGAGGAGACCGTTACTGGTTTCCTTGATGGTTTCCGTGACCGCGACATCCCATTGGGCGTCTTCCATTTCGATTGCTTCTGGATGAAGTCCTATCAGTGGTGTGACTTCGACTTCGACTCGGAGATGTTCCCGGACGCGGCGGGATATCTCAAGCGTCTCAAGGAGCGTGGTCTCCGCATCAGTGTCTGGATCAACCCGTACATCGCCCAGGCCTCGCCACTGTTCGAAGAGGGCAAGAAGAACGGATACTTCATCAAGGTACCTTCCTAGACCATTGGCACACAAGAGAATGACATGTGAAGAAACAACCCCTAACAATTCACAGCGCACCGATGGCTCAGTATGGCAATGGGACATGTGGCAAGCCGGCATGGCAGTCGTGGACTTCACGAATCCCGCCGCCAGCAAGTGGTACAACACACATCTAGAGCGGCTAATGGAGATGGGCGTCGACAGCTTCAAGACCGACTTTGCCGAGCGCATCCCAGTCAAGGGCGTCCAATACCACAACGGCGCCGACCCCGAACGCATGCACAACTACTACGCTCTCCTCTACAACAAAATCGTGTACGAGACACTCAGCAACCGCGTCGGACGCAACCAGGGTCTCCTCTTCGCGCGCAGCACCGCACCAGGCGGACAGGCGTACCCAGTGCACTGGGGCGGCGACTGCGAAAGCACCTTCGAGGCGATGGCCGAGTCACTGCGCGGCGGACTGAGCCTGATGCTGTCTGGATATATATTCTGGGCGTCTGATATCGGTGGATTCGAGGGTACTCCGCCGCCAGCGCTGTACAAGCGGTGGGTGCAGTTTGGACTGCTGTCGACACACTCGCGTCTGCATGGATCGTCTTCGTTCCGTGTGCCGTGGATCTATGGAGAAGATTGCTCGGATGTGCTACGGGACTGCGTTAAGCGCAAGATCTTGCTTACTCCGTATATTCTACAGGAGGCGTTGAAGGGCCATGGAAACGGCACGCCGCTTATGAGGCCGCTGTTCTTGGAGTTCCCTGAGGACCTTAATACGTATGCTATTGATACGCAGTATATGTTTGGGCCGAATTTGCTGGTTGCACCGGTGTTTACGGAGGAGGGTGAGGTTACTTTCTATGTGCCTCAGTCTCCTGATGATGAGGCTGGGAAATGGATCTCGTGGTTTGATCATTCTAAGTCTTATGAGTCTGGTCGTTGGTACACGGAGACTCATGGCTTTGATACCATGCCCATTTTGATCCGTCCCGGCTCTGTTACTGTCACCAATCCCACAATCAAGGCCCCTGAGGATGATGCCTTGTCGGGAATTGAATTGCTGGTCAATGGGCGCCTGCGGGGTGAGACTACGGTCGAAATTATCAACTCGATTCAGTCAGACGAGATCTTGAAGACTGTGCGAGTTTCTCCCACTGGGGATGGAAAGGTTGAAGCAAGTGGTCACAGTGTGAAATTGGTTCATGTTGCATAGGTCCGTATCAAGTAGAGAATGAAATTCAGGGAACTTATGTCATTTGCTTCAAATTGGTCAAGAGTCATATTAAAAACGTAGGGCTTCTTCCCCCACAAGCAGAACTAAACTTCAGTATGAAGTGGGTGGGTATCATATTCAAAACAGGTCGCAATGCAAGAGGCAAAGCCGAAAGCAACAAGAAACGCAAGAAACGCAAGAGAAAGCAAAGAAGAGCAAGATAGTCAAAAGCTCGAAGCCCAAGTCTGGTACCATATCAGACAAGACCGAATGGCTAACTATTGGGCAGGGGGGAGAAAAAGAACAATGTATGGATGCAATAGGCATGCATATGCAATCAGCAAACGTAAAGGAATCAAAGCCTGGTAAAGCAGAATCACCAAACTTCTTCAACGTCAAGGAGCCACTTTCGGATTCCTTCACGCAACGTATTATCGACACCTGATTGTGCTCTTCTCCGCTCGCGATCGGCAAGCCCGAGTGTGCTGTCCACGTCTTCACGGCAGTGTTCGGCGGTGACGATGCGGACGACTTCTTCGAGGGCCCCGAGCACCATCTTGCGGCATTCTCCACGAGGCACTTCAAGGGGAGGGGCTTCATCGCCTCTAGGAGAGGGGCCTTTGTCTTCAGCTTTACGGGCACGGGTAGGGGAAGGGGCACGTGACTGTGCCATCGACGAGTAACCACTCTGTCCCAAGACACGCTCGACCGCATCAACTAGAACTCCGTCGAGGTCCATCACAGGCTCCTCTATAAACCGCTCTTCCACAAAGCTCTGTTCCCGCTCGTCAGTGCCGAGGCCGTGGGTATGTTTATCATGTGCGGAAAAGAAGCTGGTGAATTGCGAGGCCGAGGCAGCTCCAGTAGATCCACGGGGGGTAGCGTTGGCGGGCGAAGAAGGCGTATGAGGAGCCCCAGAGTTGTGACCCACTATGATCTTGCGTCGCAAACGGAGTCGTCTCACGGTAGAAGCCTTGGTGTCTGCAATCAAAGTTGTCGCAACATCTACCCATTTCTCTGATCCGTCCACATCGGATGTGGAGGGGATGTACGGGGAAGGTTCAGCCCGCATTGCCTGTTTGATCTCTGCTTCGAGAGAAGCATAAGGCCGGACCGCTTGGAGCGAGAAATCCTCATGGAAAAATTTCAACCAACCAGCCACATGGGCAGTCGGTCCATCGCTATCCTTCATGGTACCGGGAAATCCGGAGCCACTGCTATGCGTAGAAGCAACTGCATCCATACTGGTGACGGAGGTTCGAGTCTTCTTTGGCGAGGCAATAGTCGAATCGCCGGACGAAGAAAGTGACATGAAACCAGGAAGTGGAAGGTCAACATCCACCACGCCTTCCTCTGCTCGGACTGACAACTTCAAAGGCGACTCCCGGACTTGGCTGTTGACTGATGATGGCTCTGGCGAGGCAGGCTCGGTGTTATGAGGAGCGGCAGCAGAAGCAGTTGGAATTGAGATGTTTCCACTGGGAGCGGTTTCAGGCCGGTGCTCATCCTCATTTTCTGTGACTTCCTTGACCATTTGAGTTAAAGTGGTTGACCCGCGCCTAGCAGGGCCGGATATTGTAGAGACGGACCTTTTGCGAGCTTCGGATGGGAAATATGGCTCGCTACTTTCGGTAGATGAGCCTTGACGGGAGCTCCAAAGACCGGAGAAAATACCGCCCCAGCGGCCTCCAGCTGAGGAAAGACTGCCATTTGTGCTCACTGCAGAGCTGTCACTTCGTTGAAGGCTCTTCAGTAGAGTCTCTGACGCTAGGCTATCGCTGCCTTCAGCTGCGCTGCGCTCTGTCCTAGCCTGCGTGGAATGGCTTGGCTGAGAAGTAAAATGGGGAACAGGGACAGTGCTGCTCTGAGTGATCATAGAAGTAGTTGCTCCGCTTGTATTCATGGCCCGAGCATCCTTCGGATGGATGTTTGCTCCGGGGGGTTTGATGGAGCGAGCATCAGATCCTCTACGGGTGGAGGCCGAGTGTTCCGCTGGTGGGATTATTTCAGCTGCATCTATCGACCGCTGGGCTGTCTCCTGAGAGGAAACGCTCACTGATCGCTGGTGGTGATCATTATCGCCCATGATCATTCGTTGAGCACGAGCTCGTCGTTCAATCGCTCTTCGAAGAGACTCCTGGCGGAGGACAGGCACAGTCGGTGGGCTTTGGGAGATAGCACGCATTGAGGCCGATGTGCCGGGTCTCAGAGGGGAAGGTAACGGTTCCAGTCGTTGCTTCGAGGGCAAGAAAGCGGCCAGTAAGAATACGAGGCGACGAGCAGTCATCTTATCTGGGCATATAATGACTGTTCTGTTTGCAAGAATGAGTTCGCCATCCTGCTGAGCTTTGTGTTGCTGGTTATGGCGGCGACGATACCACTCCGGCCCAAGGCTGTTGAGCCACTCGGTGTGATTTCCCAAAAATGCTGTCAAAACCACTAAGAAGAAGAAGTTCTGCTCTTTGTCACCTAGCCCACGCACAATTGAGCGGCCTTCCTCCCGCCAGACGCCCCAACGACTTTGTCCAGTGACTACATATGGGGTTTGAAGAGCAAGGCTGATACGGCGGGAGCTGCGAATGGCTTCTTCTTTGAGCTTCGAATTGACTGACAGAATGTTGGCAGGTAAATGCACAATCGTCTGATTGGTACGCTGCATATTGGGAGGCTTCGCAGGCTTTGGGTGAGGCCCGGATAAAGAGTCCACCTTCTTCAAAAGAAAGAGAATTTCGTTGCGAACAAGTCTTTCGAGGTGGGAGAGTGTACGAGTGATGACGTCCCAATGATCAACTAATAAGTCCAGACGCTCATCCAGGCTAGCCGGGGGCGAGGCAGAAGATAGGCTATCATCAAAAAATCCACCCGGCCAGCGGTGATCAGAATCCAGCGAGCTTGAAAACCCTGGCCGAGGAGAGTCTGGGCCTGGAGTACTAAATCTTGATACAGGACGTCCAGTATTGCGTGGCAGCAAAGGGATCTGAATCGTAATTGCCACCGCGTACATGGGTGTTTTCTTCTCCTTGATTTTCTTGCGCTTGGAAACATCCGGGAATGGGAACTCCATCTCGGGCAATGACTCTTGGTAAAGAGCACTGGCATAGTCATGACGCTCAGCCGATGCTTCCGCTCCTTCTGGGAGATTCACACTAAACATGCGAGTCAAGAGAACTGTGACTTTGGAAGGTGGCTTGTCGTCCACTCCTCGGGCTACTCCTATCGGAGCGGAGGGACTCCCTGTGGTATAGGCCCGGGAAAGGGGACTGCGGGCAGCGGGTGATGCACTCACCCCAGTTGCCGGACTTTCATCAGCGGAAATGATGTGCATTTTTGTAGACGACCCCCGGTAGCTGAAGGCGCTGCTGCCGAAGATGCAGTTCAAAAGGCCAGTATCATTGGAGTCGGAGCAGTGTCGCGATGGGCCAGGGTCATGCCATGTTCCCGGCGGTGCCAGTGTAGAGCTACGGCCTCGAGCCCGGGAAAAAGCACCCGGGCCGGCTGGTGACGACCTGCGTGCATCTGCAGCTGCGGAGAGGGGGCTCGATTCGATGAGGGAGGATTGGGTGAGAAGGTTGCGACGTGTTCCACGCGAAAGACTGGAGACTGCTCGAGTATGTCTGAGACCGGACTGATCGTTGCCTTGTGGGTCGATTCCAAGACCGGCGGGGGGTGAATCGGACGCACGGGTGTCAAGTAAGACACATGCATCTCGGTCGCCCAATGCATTTTGTGCAACAATCACACGAAAATCTTTGATTGGATCCAATTCCATTCCCCCACGATCATCGTATGCACCAGCCGTCGAGGCATTGGGGGAATTGAAGGTCGTCTGCAACGGGAAGGCATGGGTATTGGAACGTCGAAGGAGGCTGGAGTCGGGGAAAAGAAGACCGGAGGTGTGTTCCTCCTCAGTCACGGACTCAAGAGGCATTCCATTACTTCGTCCAGAGTATGCCGCCGGATTGAGAGTCGACGCAGCGGTACTCAAAAGTCGGCCAAGCATGGTGAATGAGAACGGGGAAACCCGCAGAGAGAACAGGTACTTGGGGACGCAGGGAAGAGAAAACGGGCCGGTCAAATTCAAGCGGTGTAACGATGGGTATCAGGCAGCTAGGAATATCTAGGCCGCATCCACCCATAGCTTAATTCAATGAAGCAAGAATCATCATCAAACGATGAAGGGAATTGAGAATATCCAGAGTTATTAGAGGGGAGGAGTGGAAGGTGGGATGTGGTGCAGCAGTGGGGCTGGGATCAGCAATTAGGGGGTTAGGAATTGGCTTTGCACCCACGAGGACTCCACAGTCTGATCAGGATTGTGTAAAAACCCAGGAAGTCAAATGAAATGATCCCAGAGCTTCTTAAGGGACCCAGTTCCTTGAACAGAGAAACCACCTGGGGAACAGCGGAGAGGGAACGCGAAAGGGCGGTGAAGAAAGTCACATGATCTCAGCCTCATTGTCTACAGCCGAGGGATAGTGACCTTTTAAGTCTTTTCTTATAGATCTGATGCTCTGACTCTGATGAATGCAGTTTTGGAAGCACAACAAGGTACACAATTTAGAGCGTAGGAAGAGCCTATCCTAGCCAGTAACTTCCGACTATCGGAACTGAATCCAATGATACCTAACTTATATCAATCGCTACTACTGGCCACCATGTCGCTATTTCCTACCGTCCTCGTGTCACCGTATAGTCGGCTTTGCAAGGAATAATGTTACTCGGGGGCGCTGATTTGTGTGATTTGAGGCGGATATGAATTTTGGATTGGAGGGAAATGTTTTATCTCCCAAAATATTACTCATGATGGGCACATGCCATCTCTACACCGTCACTCATACCTCGTGTGATACAAGCATCATGCCTGCAACCCCAGATACCACACCCTCGACAGGGCCCTGTAATCGTCTTTGCAAATACCCCGACCCTAGGAGAAAGGGACCCTCTCCATGTTGACCACTAAGCTGTTCCGTCCACGTGGTTCTACCCTTCAGTCGGTCCTT